GTGGTTGACATCTCTCAGCCTTCACGTCAGCTGCAGCTGAGCAGCAGGAAAGAGGAGTGAGCAGCTACTGTGGAAAACACATTATATAACTACTGTGTGTGTGTGTGTGTGTGTGTGTGTGTGTGTTCCGTTTGTTTATGTGGCCCAATCTAAAGGGCAGGGTGCCAACACTCGATCCACCAACTCTGGGTCTGGGGGCCCACCACCGGCTTTGGAGTGTGTGTGTGTGTGTGTGTGTGTGTGTGCACCACTCCCTGAGTCTTACACACATACAGGTTTCTGTTTTGAAGGCTCCCTGATCAGTCTGTCATGTCAGTGATGGATTAGGTCTAGAAGCTTCCTGTCGTCTCCGTGACGCGTCCATGTGTTGTCTCTCTTGTCCTTTCACAGAGTCAGCATTTTTTCAACAGTCAAATTATGTCTCACACTGGTGTGTGTGTGTGTGAATCTGGGGCCGGGGCAACAGCGGGGGTGTCCACGACTGGGGGCAGATTAATGCCCTGAGGGCAACTGCCCCTGCTGTTGAACCTCAGATGGTACTGGGTTGTATGTTCAGAAAATGTACTGCAATACTACTACTGTTTTAGTACACAACAAATACTTCAGTGTAGTGGAAATAAAGCTGGTTTTATCTGGTGGAAGTTTTTACTGAGTATTATACTAGACGTTTCTGTGGTTAAATCTAACTAAATTAATGAAGTAAAATAATTTTGATACTTTGTCAAATAAAACTAAACTAGAAGTTTAGAACTAAACTATTAAAACAGTTCTAAAAACCAAGTTAATTGACTGTAAAGATGAAGTAATTCAGGTTAATTTAAACCACAGGTTGAGAACTGTGAATACCTTCAGCTGGATCCTGGAGTCTCTGAGAACCGTAGAGAGGAACCGTACGAGAAGGTGTGGCGTTCTCACGCAGCACTGGTCTGCAGTGTCATCTGACCACAAACACTTCCTGCCAGGTCTCCACATGAAACCAGGGGAGTGAGAAGGATCCATGTCAGTGAGCTCTGACAGAGAACACAGTCGGGGAAAAACACTGGTCCAGGGTCAACCCTCTGGTCCAGGGTCAAACCTCTGGTCCAGGGTCAACCCTGTGGTCCAGGGTCAACCCTCTGGTCCAAGGATCCATGTCAGTGAGCTCTGACAGAGCACACAGTCGGGGAAAAACACTGGTCCAGGGTCAAACCTCTGGTCCAGGGTCAACCCTCTGGTCCAGGGTCAACCCTCTGGGTGGATTCTTCCGTGTTGTCAGTGTTGAACTAACGTTTTCTGACTTGGCCTCACATCGACTGAATCCTCAAAAACCACTGGACCTGGTTATAATACACTGAGATCAGGTTTGAATGTCGACAAGAAGAAAAAACAAACAAGGATTCAGAAGTCCAAGAGTTCCAGGATTTTCCAGGACCTTCCAGGGTTAAACACAAACCAGCAGGAGATGCATGAAATCCAATCCATGTAGAAGTGCTGCTTTTCAAATGTCAATACTTTACATTAACGACAGATCACATTACTACTATAAACTACTCTCCA